ATGGCTAACAAAGGACGTGGTTTTAGTGGCTCCTCCTTGTGGGTGACATCATTTCCGATCCCTGAACTGCCTCTAGAGATGGTCTGGACAGGAAGAGTGTGTTAGGGCATCATCCATACAGAGTTTGGAGAATGAGACCTTAGCAGTCAGATGCCCTTTGAGAAAATCTTGAACTTGAGAAGTCTCAAAACCTTTTCCTTTTCAAAGAAAAAAATTATCCTTTCCAATTCTATATAATAAGAGAGATCAAATTATTATTTTCTATTGGTAAAAAAATAAAATAGTTTTAACCTACAATTACAAGGAATATCACTTCCTTTTTTTACAGCATTAGGTAATACTTATTTTTATTATCTGTATCTGTTTATAAATAAAATATATATCCATTATACTTTAAGTCTCATTTAGGTATCAAATTTAACTGATAAAGAAAATCCAAACAGATCAATTACTAGCAAGGAGATTGAATCAGTAATCAAACCCCTACCAAAAAAACAAAAGTCCAGCACCTGATGGCTTCAGTGGTTAATTCTTTTTTTTTTTCAGATATATTTATTTATACAAGAACAGTGGTACAGACCAGATGCACGGAAGGATGAGAGGATTTACCAGAGACAGAGTGGGGAGCAGAACAGGCAGACGACCAAAACACACTGCTGAGGGGAGCAGCTGGCGAGACAGGATAGGTCTGTTTCGCCATGTGGGATTCTCCCCGGCCGGCTAGGATCGAACCTGAGCTGCTGAGGCTGCGGACATCTTAACATTGTGGCGCTCAACTGCCCGTGCCACCCAGAAGGACCCAAAAGTGGTTAATTCTTCAAAATTAAAAAAAAAAAAAATATTGATAGCAACTTCAGTTCATCCAAATATACGATTAAGAAAGTGCATAGAAAAGTCCCAGTATGGAAATTAAGTAATAATAATTTGAACCTTTACATAGTAATGCATATAGGAAGTACAGTACACATAAAATCCCACTGATAGCATATATAATGTAGAAAATTCTTAATTCCAGGCAGAAAGGCTAATGATAAGAAGGAAAAAAATAGAAAAAAATGGAAAGTTTTACCTTATATGCAATTTTATAGTTTACATTAAAGATGACAACACTTCCTAATTGAGTAAAACTATTTTAATGTAGGACTAATTAATTTTTCTAAGGATATTTTAAAGAACAGCTTGGAATGAGATTTCCAAATCAAGGAAAACATGCCTTGTTTTCAGTTTATCAACTATCCTTAATAGAGCGTTTTTACCAGACTGTGTTGGGCAGTCAAGAATTCTATCATTGGGCACTGATTTGTTAGTGGATATTCCAACAAATCTTCAAAAAATGGTTAAGAATACTGAAATAAAAACTGGGCCATGAATAGCCCCCAATGCCATGACAAAAAACATAATTTTAAAACATGTCCTGAAGATGTATGTGTTAGCTACAGATAAAACAGTCACTCCTATTATTGTTGACAGTGCACTTTGTAACACTGCATAACCTAGCAAAAACAATGCCTCAATTGCTTTTTGGGTTGCTGAGGGTTTAGAACTGGAAACAAATGCATATGAAATATGTGCACAAAAATCAAAAGAAAACCATATACAAATCACAAGATTCATCATGGATACGGAATCAAGGTTGACATGCCAGAATCCCATGAAACCTGTTATTCCTACAATCACAGACCCAATAGAAAAAGTGACCCACAAGGATCACAATGGGTGGGGAGTTAACAATAAAGAAACAATGAACATAGCTACGGATGCAAAAATGACACTTCAAATAGTGTTTTCTAAGATGGCAGAATATTGATCAAAATAGATAAATGCTGGGTTATACACCATTAGGGGAATCTCACACCTTCTGGCAAAACTTTGTAATTGGAATAACATGTTCTTCTTACTGCGTGAAGAAGAAACACCCGTGGTCTGAATGAAGGCCCAGAAAGAAGTAATCTCATGTGATGATGAAATGTTAATATCATATGTAAAAATTGGAATATGCACTAAAAAACAAGGAATGTTGTTTATAAAACTACCTCTGTCATTTACAGCTAAGATGTTGGCTTCCATATACTGTATATATGCTTGTAACCAAAACTGAGTTAGATATTGAATGACAGTAGTCACTGTTTTCAAATGTGGTCAGACATTTGCCCAATGTTTGCCTAGCGTCTTTATCCCAGTAGTCAACTGTTTCAGTCATGATAACCATCACTATGGGACCATAATCTGAAAAATGCTCTTCATGGATGTTAAAATAGGGTGTGATATAAGAATTGTCACTTGCCATATATCGAAGGTCTAAAACTTCCTGCACTTGGAAACAGCCATGCATACTGAATGCGATGTACTGAAGGTATAAACCCACTATCACAAACTTGGACTTAGTGTTTGTGAGAAAGGGGCCAAAATAATCTCTAAAGAACAAGTTCATTGGATGGATGCTTGATTCTTCATCAGTTCGAAGAGAACTAAATGGGAAGCAGCAGCATCTTATCAGTGTGAAGAATTTTGGTCTGGGTTACCCTCTGACTTTTGCAGCCTGCACAGACAGGCCAATTCTCTCCTACCATCTAGGGCCATAAAGGCACCAAAACGTGTGATGTTATAAAAATAACAGAAGAGCAAGGTTGTTCCCGTGTAAATGCAAAAGTACTGCACGGACTTAAAGGAGGTCATTACCCCTGTAAAGATGGCCAGGGCATTTGTGAGAGTGGTGATGGTGATGGACACCGCCACGTGGGAGTAGACGTCAGACATTCACGTTTGTATGCTGTCCATGATGTTGGTCTTCTGTCAGGCAGAAATCATGATAAGCATGTCATCAACGCCAACACCTGTTAAAAAAAATCTTAATGCATATTCATATCCGTTTGCTGCAGGAGGCCTTGTTGCTCCAGCCAGATAGGATACTGACAAGCAGCAAAAAAAAGGGTCTCACACCGTGGGGCTGAAGATCTGGCATCCCTTTGCTTTTTGGTCTTGGTCGTAGAGAGAAAAAAAATTATCAAAAAGTATATTAGGCAATAAATTATATGTATCAGCATACTGTAAGTAAATAGCACGAAAAATTGTTTGTTTAGAAATTAGTTGTTGGGCAGTTTGGCCCACTTGACTATGGGAGATGGTTTGTTGAACATGCCTGACAAGCATTACAATACAATAATTATAGTGGGTCCTTTTGCCTTCCCTTGAAGTTTCTTGGGATAGTTTTTAAATAAAGCTCTTTGAGTTAAGGAGTTTCTAGGTAAAGGAAGTTCTGATAGCTGAGTAGCAGCCAGCCCCTGCTGTGAAGGCCATTGAGAATAAGAAAAGTCTTTTTTTTGCTTAGTCTTTAGCTGATAGGGATGTACTGGCGGCTATCAATTGTCTTAGGTTATTGTTTAGCTGAAACAGTGAATTTTAGTGTAAGACTTAGTTTTTTATTAACCTTGAAGGTTGCCTTCTTGCTGAGAGCACGTAGTGGACAAAAGCCCATAGAAAAAGAGATGTACTAATTGTTTCTGCTCTGTTTCTATGCACTTGATAATGTAATCTCAATGCTTGCAAAAAAATGTATAAATAAAGAACCTGCTGAGCCTCACAGCAGAAGATACTAACACCTCAGCAAGTGTTGGTGTCTTCTCATTCCCTTCCCCTCAGTCCCTAAGTTTCAGATCATTCGTATTCGCCGAGGCTGTCTCATCCTTTCAGGAACCCTGACACGACATTTTGCTGGAGGCTGGTCCCCAGCATCCATTAAAGTGTAAATAGCACAATTCAAAAGGTTTCCCCCTTTTTTCTCTTTTGAATGAAGCAACATTGTTTTACATCCTTGTTGAGTTCTTGACAGTTTAGGGGATTTTTCCACTCAGGTGTGGCCACCTTCACTCTCCCAGCACCAACGCACCTGTGGTCCTCCACCAGAGTCCTTGTGCTCTCTTCCCTGTCCCTCTTGCCACCCTTCCCCTCCTCCCCCTGTTTCCTGGCTGTCTCAGCTCTAGGGAAGCTCTCAAGAGTTGCTTTGAAAGTTTGTCTTTGACCCTTTGTCTAGTTTCCCTATATTCCACATCTAAGTGAAATGATCCTTTGTCCCTTAAGGTCTTATTCTTTGTCCCTTCAAGTTTTATTTATCTCACACAATCTGTGCTGAGGTATCACTTTCCTTGGTTGTCTCTGAGTCCACAACAGAGCACACTCCTTCCTCTGTCATAAGCTTGTGGTTTGCACGGATTCCTATTATTTCCACACAGCACAGTATACTCTTCCTCTCCAATTATGGTGCCTCAGTGTTGAGATCAGGAAACCTGGTGGATGTGTGTTAGTTCAAGCAGGATTAGCAATCTGTTTCTGATTCCACTAGATCACTTGAGAGACCTTTTTCTCTCATACACCATTTCACAGAAATGCACAAACACTTTCAGCCAACATTCTGTTACTAAACCTATATGACCACCAACAGCATCAGTCTATCATTGTGGTATGACTTGAGAGGCACAGCGTCATATGCAGGCACGTGCACACTAGTTTTCCTGCTAGTCTTTTCTTGGTGGGAATATAGAGGTTTCCTATGTTTGAATTCACCAATCTCCTGTGGACAGGGGAGATGGTTTTCAATTAGTTTTCAAATCTGAATCACACAGAAATGAACATACTCTACTTTTTGGAGCATTTTTTGAATTATTAGGACATTCCTAGATGTACAATGGAGAGGTAAAAGATATGCACCTTGAATCCCCTTTTAAGCCTTTTGATTTGATAGAAATATTGGACTAAGAAAAGTATGAGCCAATTGACAGTCTTCTCTGAGCAATAGAAGACAGTGTTCATTACATACAACCACCCCAAAAGTTTCAGTCTTGCAATACTTATTAATCTATTAAGAAAACAAGGCATCTCAGTTTTGGTTTAATTTGCATCCCTTGATTGAGATGCCATATATTTGTCCCCCTTACATTTTCAGTGACCTGTATTTTCCGTTTTTGGTGTTGTATGTGTCTGTGTGAGAGAGAGAGGGTGGGGGAGAGAGAGAGTGAACTGCCTGCTCATGTCATTATCTTTACTTTTGCATTTGGGGTCCTTATTTTTTCCAGTTCTGAAGACACAATTTAATGTTTGTCTTCATTTCTGACACCTTATTTTGGATTTGTAGTCATCTAATCACAGTTATTTTACTTAATCTATCATAAACTCTCTGTTATCTACTTTCTCCCCAATACCCTCATAGTGTAGCCTCTTATTTGCTTTACTCATCTAGTATTAGAAATGGTGAATTTGCAACTATTGGCACAAATGACACCCCTACGTATAACATGAGTCCAAAGCCACTCACCACTGCCAAGGTAACAGAAATCACTCCAATGACTGCAGTAAACATTTTGTTACGTATACAGCTAAACCTGTAAATAGGGAGGAAAATGATGTATTTTTAGCAGCAGCTGCCATACTGAAATTCCATCAATTCATGACATTCTTGATTTGGACCTGTTCTGAAATCTCTTCTGCAATCATTCTACACCTGTCTCCTGGAGACCTTTAATTCCCATGCACTATCCCAGACCAACTTCACCAATTGAAAGAGGGAAAATAAAAGTTGACATTTTGTGTTTTTTACTTAACTATCTACTTATGCATCTGGCCAAGCACTAATTCCCTGATGGTGTTTCAGAAACATACATGTACTAGAGCACAGCAGATGGTTAATTCCACTCTAGTGTTCAAGGAGTTGTGTGTGAATAGAACACAACACTAAAGGGCAGGCAGCTGTAGTTGAGAAAGTACCCACATCCAATTATCTTTGCACTCATTTTCTGATTCCAACTAGCTATAAACACCAACCTAAAGGGTTCCTGTACAACAGAGATAGTATGTGGTTAATAAAATGCATGAAAGCATCCTGCTAAAACAGTTTCAAGATTCTCCTTTAATGATGAAGTGGGTCCTAGAAAAGTTGCTATTAATTGCAAAAAAAATGTTTTGAAATGTACTTTTTTTGGATCAACACAAGACTTTTCTGTTTCTCTGTTGGACCACCAGAAATGGGAATATAGAGAGAGCATTTGAAAGCATGTATGCAGTACTTTGCCTCCACAATAACCACATTACGTTTTAAAATATTGACAACAACCTGTGGCTTTATATTTTAATTTTATGTGAACAGTTTTAAAACAATAATTGATAAAAGTCTCTCTGGACTTCTGTAGGAAAAAGAAACTAAGTTTGAAGACTAGGAGAGACAACTAAGGAAATGGAGGTACTGATTCCAAAACAGAATGTGACTAAAAGACTTTTTCAGACCATATTCACATAGCAAAACTTTCTTTTTATTAAAAGGTTTCTGCACCATTGATGTGTTCCACTTTTTCTCAAACTGCTGGTACCTTGAGTTAAATTTAGGGTCCAAACGCACACACACACAAATTTCAGAGCTAAAGTAATCCGCTTGGGTTACAATAAATTTGAACATAATGAATATTTTCCTTTTGCAATAATTCTTGAAAACAGTATTTATAAATGTTTATGATAAGAACATAACAAGGATGAAGTTCAAATGCAAAAAGATTAGTGAGAGCTACACAGGACATGTTTAGTCTCAATCCCTTTTACAAGATTCTCATTTTTATGTAAATTTTTAGACACTGAGGTAGGAAGGTAAATTGTTGGCCACAGTGACTCTACTTTGACTAGTTGTGCTGAGATTCTCTAAACAACTATTAATTGTAAGTGAAGGAAAGATGAAAATGGACACTGTAAGAGACTTATGAATGTGCTTGCAGATATTCTAGAACCCTACAAAAAACTTGATAGAAGCAGTTTATCAAAATGTTTAGAGAATTATCAAACTTTAGATCTTGATTCAGTAGGTTTACAATGATGCTGCAGAATCATTGTACCTAAAATTTTTTCACACGATTCCAATGGTCAGTCAAATTGAGGCAGCGCTGGTAGCAAAATGGCCTATTTTCTGAATATTCTAATAACTTGACAGCATCGGGCTGAATTGAAATGATTACACTTTGAAAACTGTATGTTTGGGGAGGAGGCCACATCTTTCTAAAAGATAATGATGTCTGTTAAACACAAGAACAATTAAAGTATGTTTGAGAAGAGAAAGATTTCCCAGATTTTATCAGAAGTTGATCTAATGGTATAATAAGTTTTGTCATTTCTAAAATGCCAAATTTGAAATAGTCTACAAACTCAATATACCACTACTTGCCATAGAATGGTGTTCAATTTGGCCATACTCTCTTGGGAAGGTCTTACTGTTGTCCAGATGATTTCATTCCAAGCCAAAAAATATGGAATGCTCAAATGTGTTGAATCCCTGAGCTAAACAAACATAAGATAGTCGTATTGATAACAGAGAGAGGGAGGGCGAGATGTCAGAAGAATCTACAAAAGCACTAGCAGGTAAATCAGTTACATATATTCAAGTCCAAGGAAGGCAAGTATTAGGACTATACTCAGCACTTGTGCTGACAAAATTTCCTGCTCCTTTTCCTCTTTGTGCCTGCTCCAACCCAGGAAGTAGTCTTGCAGTATGGAAAGGAGGAAGGCATACTAGACAAATACTATGAGAAACACTGTCTTAAATATGCTCAGAATACTAAAGGAGAACACTGACAGGGAACACGGTATATGAATGAAATAATAATATACATAGAAAAACTTCAGAGGAACATAACAAATTCTGGAGCTGAAAAGCTAAAAAGCCAACCACCAAACACGCACACAACACAAACAAGTGAATCTTAGAGATGCTGTCCAGATTTAGCATTGTGCTGGAATTACTCGCCAGAGCAATTAGACAAGGAATAGAATAAAAAGAATCCTTTCAGCTGGAAAGGAAGAAAAATATCCTGTTTCACAGATTACATAATCGCAGATATGAAAATTCCAAAGCATCCACAAGAAAACTACTAGATACAAGAAATTCAACAAAGCTACAAGATACAAGAACAACTTATAAAAATCAGCTGTGTTTCTATTTATGTGCAAAAGGGAATTGCAAAGGATATTAAGAAAGCAATTCTATTTAAATAGCATCTATAAGAAGAAAATACTTAAGAGTACATTTGACCAAGAGGTAAAAGACGTGTACACTGAAAATTATATACACCGGTGAAAGAAACTAAAGAAAACCTAATTTAATGGAAAGACATCCTTACTTGATGTGAAGGATTAATATTGTTAAAATGTCAATCACCTAGAAACCTACTAATTCAACTCAATTTCTATTGAAATTGCAATTTCCTTTTTTTCTTTTTCAGAAATGGAAGAGCCAACCCTCAAATTCACTTGAAATTGCAAGGAGCCCAGGATATCCAAAACAATCTCGAAAAAGAAGAAAAAGTTGCAGGAATCAGATTTCCAGATTTCAAAACTTGCAAAGAGATACTGTTATGAAAACAATATGGTATAAGCACGCAAATAAACATACAGAATGACAGAATAGAATTGGGAGTCCAGGAATAATCCATAAATATTGCCAGTTGATTGACAAAGTGTAGTAAGTCTAACAAACAAACTGGAAAGGTCTCTTCAATAAATGGTTTTTGGAAAACTGGATCTTCACATAAACAAGGATGATGCTGGGACCTTACTAAATACCATAAACAGAACTGAAACAGACATTGATCAATAATCTAAATAAAAGAGTTAACACCATAAAACTTGTAGAGGGAAACACAGGGTCAATATGCATGACCTTGACTTGTCAATGGACACTTAGATATAATACCAAAAATACAAGTACCAAAAAAAATAGATATGTTGGATTTCATCAAAAAAAATGTTAATCATTACAGGCCATTCTCAAGAAAGTGAAGAGACAGTCTATGTAAAGGGAGAAAATATCAGCTAGTCATACAGCTGATAAAGGGCTTAATAAGTGAAATATGCAAAGTGCTAATAAAAAACGTGAGTCAACAACAAAAGGTCAAACAACCCAATTATAAGAAGGGCAAAGGACTTGGATAGACATTTCTCCAAAGAGGATACACAAGAGGCCGATAAACAGTTGAAAAGACAATCAGCGTGATCAGATATTTACAGAAATGCGAATCACCACAATGAGATACACTTGACACCAACTAAGACAGGTAATATCAATAAAAGGTAAAAGAATGAGTGTTGTTTTATAGGGAAACTGTGGAAAAACTGGAACCCCTATCTACTGCTGGTGGGATCGAAAATGGTGTAGACTCTGGAAAACCATGTGATGATTCTTCAAATAGCTGACTATGAAATTCTCATACAATCCACCAATTCCACTTGTAAATGATTCTTTTAACATGAGCACAGCATGTTCCTTGCAGTGTTACGATTGTCAAGAGAAGGAAATACTCCATGCCTACAAAAGACTATGGATAACCAAATTGTGGAGCACACATACAATGGAGCACAGAGCCATGGAGTGGAATGAAGCTGTCACATGTGCACAAGGACAAACCCTGGAAGCATTATGATTAGTGAAATAAGTCAGTCACAAAAAATGTATGATTCCATTGACATGAAAATCTAAGAAAGGCAAATTCATAGAAAGAATAGAGTCAAGGTTAATCAGGACTAGAGGAGAGAAAGGCAGCAGGAGCCACTGCTCACTGGTCAGAGTTCCTCTTTCGGGTTATGAAAGATGTTTGGAAACAGTCACGACAGTATGCAGCCAAGGGGATGTGGTCGATGCCACTGACCTATACAATTAAATGGTTAGAATGGCATGTGTTACGTTAAATATCTTACAACAAATATTTTTAAGTTTAAAAACTAATAAAAGTTTTTTTTACCTGTAGCATGACATGATTGCAAACCACTGTCCTAGCAGTCGCCTCAAATTCCAGTTCACTAGAAAGTGATGTAAAGTAGACCACCTGTCGTAAAAGTACACGCAGGTAAATAACTTTTAATTCCAATATTTGTGTATGAGTGACAAGATCTATCAAAATATTATAGCTTATTGATTGAAACGTTACAGTTTGGTAAAAGATTAAAATATGTAAATTATGATTTTAGAATAAAGGTAATAAAATTTTTTCTCCACCAATCCATGCCATGCTTTCTAAGATTTCTTTCAAAAATCCAATGTTGGGCCTCCCATGGTGGTGCAGCGGTTGAATGATGGGCTGTGAAGCTGTCTGCAGCCTCTGCAGTGCCTGTTAGATCCCAGGCCGCCAGCAAGGGTCCCAACTGATGGCGACAGACCTCTCCTGCCACACCCACTGCTCCCCTCAGCAGTGTACTTCGCCAGTCTGCCTGTTCTGTTCTGCGCTCTGGCTCTGGTGAATTCTCTCACACTCCCACACATCTGACTGTGCCCAGTGCTTGTATAAATAAATAAATATATATTTTTAAATAAGCCAATGTTTGACATTTCTGAGTATACAAATTATCAATTTTCTCTAATACTGTGTAATCATTAATAACTGACAAAATTTTGGCTTTTTCTAAATGACCAGTAGGTTGCTATCTTTTGCTATTTAAGTACAAAGTATAATTTCAGCAAGGCCTGGTATCCAAAGCCATTTCCCAGCAGGTGTCTCTCACCAGGCCTGGCCAAAAGTATGAGCAGGTTTGCTTATCATCTGAGGTGCCTGGCAGGATGCTAGAAAATACTTGAGAAATCTGAGCTAGCTGTGTTTTTCAAAAACACCAGGGACTACAGCTTAAAGGTTTGTTTTTTATTCCAGTAACACCAAGCAAGTTTTTGTGGGCTCCAGAAACAGCACAGACGTGAAGTGAGAGAATTCTGAGTAGAAAACCCAAAGGGACCCTGAAGATGAATGTCTGCCCTGAACACACCCACCCCTGGGGTGTAGAATGAGTGTTTTCCACCAGAATGAAACCCAGTATCTAGAGTGGCAGCTTCCCTTGGTGTCCCTTGAAGAAAGCTGGCTTAAGCATCAAAGAGAGTGGAGCAGAGCCGGTTTTAAGTCAAGGCCTCCAGCAAGTAGCCAGGCGTGGACACATCCCTGGACAGGTCTTATCCCTCCCACCTTCTCCTCCCTCTAAACCCAGCCCAGGGCACCTGGAAGTTCTTCAAGGCCAGGCACTTTTCAATGGCATGAAATTTGGTCCTGGAACTCGAGCAGCCACTTCTGGCTGTGTGCGCTGTCCTCGGGGTCCGCGGTCTTCAGGTAGTACTGCAGCCGCATGGCCTTGGCTTGCAGGAGTAACCGGCTAATCCCCGTGCCGGGACCTAGGACAGTCCCTCCCAAGAGGCCGGCCAATAGAGGGGAGCAGCAGAGGTGTTGTAAATAGGGAAGGTGATGCTTTTCAGGTCCATGTTGTTATTCTTCTGCCAGATGAACAGGAGTGCGTTGGAGGGCATGCAGGTGCTCTGGTACCTGGCACACACCTGAGGGTAGAGGACCTGGGTTCCATCTCCCCAGGGCGCGGTCAGCGTCTGCACCGCCTCGTCCAGTTGACTCATTTCTGAGAAGATGATTTGATCCAGCAGATTGGCAGTGTTGGAAACCACAAGAATGGAGGCGAAGTTGACCTCAGCGCTGGACTGCAATGGGGAGAAGAGAGGTGACTCGTTGGTGGAGAAATGTGCCTGCACGAAGTGCCGCATGGCTTTGGCCGGGCTGCCCGAAGGGGTGTCCTGCTCTCCAGGCTCTCTTCTGTCTCACTGGGCAGGTTAATCCACCCGGTGCCCAGGACAGCCGTCAACGCCAGGGGAGCCTGCAGGAAGAGCCAGGGTTTCGAGCCCACAGCCAGCCCCATCCTCTGGAAACCCCGGGCAAGGTGCTGCTCCAGGCAGTTGGTGTGGCAGCGGGGCCTCCCAGGGGGTGGCTGCTGCCCCTGGGCTTCTGGGACCAGTGAATGCCCTCTCTCAGACGGCTGTCGGGGTGGGTCTGAGAAAGGCCCCGAAGCCCAGCTAACATCGGGCTCCTGCCCCTCACTGGACTCCAGGACCTGCTCTGGCTGCCCCGTGGGGGCGGGGAGCTGCTGGGGCCCAGTTGCTGCCTCAGGATCTGCTCTTCTCTCAGACTCTGGCTCAGGCCAGTCCTCCTGCTCTGGCCTCCCATGACCCAGAGAAGTAAAGGAGACAGTTTGCAACAATGTAACAACTGCAGGGCCCCATCAGGCAGGGCTATCCCAATAGTGGGAGGGCAGAAAAGCCTGAAAAACCATTTACCTACAGAGGAATTTGGCTTTCTTACAATTCCTAAGAAATAAGATCAGGCCGATTTTTCTATGGGTTTACCTGCTATGTTTGATTTGTGTAACTCTTTCGTATTGGGTGCAGAGCTGGAGATCACAGCAAATATTAGCTGAGAAATGATGGCATGCAAATGATATGTCATCAGAGTCGGTTTGTTTCTTAGATTTCTTCCTTTCGACTGAGACATCGCCCTGAAATTTCATCTGAGTATGGGAATACACTTTTCCAGGGAAGGAACCTCCATAGTTTAGAAAATACCGTCTGTGTGATAACAGGAAAGGAATTGGGATATTAAAGAACATAGTTTAGAACTTAACATTTTATCTAGTCTGCATCTTAGGCATAAGCAGTCTAGATCAATTCAAGCAGACAAAGCATAACCGAGTGCTCAGTCACCTGCTATCCTTATCTTAATCAGTAGGTAGTTTCATTCTCCTTCTTTTCCCCAGTTGTCCTCAACTGTGGACACTGTACATGTGCACTGCATATTCTATGTCCCCATCTCCTTCTTTTCAGTCCCAATCTCTCAGGTTAGCTAGAGCTAGTTTGGTTGTGGGAAAAAGGGATATTAAAAAGGGCTTTTAAATTTGTGTGTTAGTAAGTAATGTGATTGTTTCCTATATTTGACCATAAGCTCTTCAGAGACAAGAACTGTAGCTTATTCATTCCTGCATTTGTTACCCATTGGAGATTCTATTTTATTCAAAAGTGGGTGAGAATACAGCAGTGGCAGCAAAGAAAGGAACTTCCAAATGACTAATATGTAACTGCTTATTCTCACTATGCAGATGGCCCTCCTGGCCTTTCTGTACTGCAGTTTTATTTAATTAAGATGTGGTAGACACATTAACTGAAATGGATTCTGTACTAAGTAGATCCTCTAGGATTTTTTTCAGATGCCTTTACGCTAAATGAGATATGAGGTATCTTTTTGTATCTTCTTATAAGCCCTTTTTCATTTCTTCTTTCTTCCTTGTTAGGAATTAAAGCAATAGAGTTGTTCCAATTTGTGTAATAAGCTGCCCCTAGGCATTATGAACTCCTCATAGTTTTCTTTTTCTGGGTTAAAATCGTAAGAGTTGCACCAGACATTGAGAAGGGGCTCTAAAGCTGAAACACGAATAATTCAGAAAGAAAGTGAAGTAAGGATTAATAGCGCCAACAGCAAGAACTGATCATGAATATAATATGTGGGGGGAAACATTGATAAGTTGCGTATCAATATCATGGTAGTGTGGTCAACTCTTAACATCAATGGCCTCCATTGAATCTTGACTGTCAGTATTTGTGACATTCCGTGGTCCCTTTCCTTAATGACTCTGGGTTTGGCTAACTTGGTCAAATGAGACATTACTAGGATTGAGACATCAGAGGATTGACAAGTTTTTGTGCATTTGGAACTTGTTGACTCTGAAACAAGAGAATACAGGATCCTGCTGAATTGGGATCAGATTCATAGCACTCATAGTAAAAATTTTAAAGTAGTTACTTTAACCTTGACCTTAAATTCCTTTTTATATAACAAAGTGAATTTCCCATTTTCTATAATAGAGTGATACCCAGAAAGACATAGCAGAAAACAAACTGGAGATTGCTTAAGGGAAAGAAAAATAGAGATTTCATTAATGGAAGTATTAGAAAAGGAGAAAGGAGACATTGAAGGTTGTACTCAGCACACAAAAAGTAAAACAAGCAAACGAGATCTGAAATATTGATGAGATAGGACTTTAAAAGGGGAAAATAATTTAATATTTAATTAGGTCAGAGAGTGACAATAATCTGAAAAAATTATCAGAGAAAATAGTAGTAATGCTCCCAAAGGGGAACCAAGTGTAGAAGGTAAATGAATAGTTGGAGTTCTCTTGAAGCATGGAAGAGCTAGTCAGTGGTTACAAAAAAAAAAAAAAAAAATCAATGGATTTTTCTATTTCTATTTATTTTTATTTCTCCATATGTATACATGTTCCACTCATACTCTGCCAAATCACTCATGGCAAAACCCCCTTGGCTTCTCTATACTGGCCTCCTTCTCACTCCCCCCACCCCGTTTCCTCTGTAACCATTAAATTATTTCACTGAGTTTAAGATCTATTCCTGCTGTATTTTGTCTGTGTATTTTTTGGTTATTCATGCTTCTCAGATGAGTGAAACCATCCAATAGCTATCTTTCACTTTCTGATTTGTTTCACTTAACATAATTACCTTGAGGACCATCCATTTTGTCCCCAAAGCCACTATTCCATCTTTTTCACATCTGTATAGTATTCCACAGATGTTTAAGCCAAGATTGTGGACCATTAGTTTAGACTACTTCATGCATTAATAAGTACATTTCGAGGGATAAAGTTACATATAGATTCATGTTTTACCTGAGCTCTAGTTGACCAAGAATTTCTAGAGTTAAATCTTCTCCAATAAGAAGCACACAGAAGAGAAACCTTAGAAAGGAACCGAGAAGGAAAAACTGATCAACCTATGGCTGAGGCAAGGATCCTGAGAAGGAATTTGGATAAGTTTATGTAAGTTAGTAAGGTGTCAATGGACAAGACTTAATTAAACAATGAATGGTTTCATAATTCAGAACTTAATATTTCTGGCCTCAAAACAAACACATAGGTCTTTGTTTAAAAAAAAAAAAAAAAACAACAACAACATATCTGATCCCCAAATCAAGTTAAAGCAATGGAAGGAGAGAGCTCAGTCCTAAAAATCATGTCTGGGGGGGCGGAGCAACATGGCGGCAAGGAGACGCTGCGAGTAAGATCTCCCATTAAAAAAAGTTAATAGGGAGGAAAAGCGGCAGGTCCCAGTGAGAAGTGGGACACGGAAGATAAACGGGTGACTACAGCAAACTGCCCGAAGAAGAAAGTTGCCAAAAAAGAGGACCAGAAGGGAGGAAAGCGCAGAACCCTGCTCCCCTCCCCCGCCCACAAAGTCGGCACTCTCCGACCAGCAGAGAGGAGGAAAAAAAAAACAAACAAACTAAAACGACCAACAAGAACAAACTACGCAGCAAGCGGGAATGTGAGTGGAAAGGAACTATTTCAGCCACCACACCCCGTGAACGGGAGCTGTGGAGAATCCTGCAGGATTCGCCGAGGAGGTGAGCTCCAGGCGCCATTAAAGAGAGCCCCCCCCCAGGAGGAGACCAGCACCAGCACACAACCCTGGGCCCCCAGTAAGCTTGCGAGGAAAAGCGGCATGCGCTGGAAAAGTAAATGCGGATCGGATAGGGATTGGGATTGCGCGGAAAAGTGGCATGGATCGGAATCGGGATCTCGCGGAAAAGCAGTGCGGTTGAAAAGCAAACGCGGATCCGGATGGCAGCTGCCCAGGTCCCCGCGCCTGTGACCTAGGCTTGCGGGGAGACGCGCGGAGGCTCTCACCGAGTGAGCAGGAACCAGGCGCCCAGGCACGGGAGCGGGATTCAAAAGGCGCCATTCCCGCGCCACTGAACTGGGCTACAGCCCGCGTCCTGGAACTGAGGGCTTTGTAACTGAGACCTGGGGCACGGAATTAGGGGCGTGGGTTCCCCACGACGGTGGGGCACAAGGCAGACACAGCACCCCAAAGCCGTTGAGGTATACCCTACAATTCCCGCTCTGTTCCCTGTCCCACGGGGTGGAAAATCAGCTCCCCAAGGGCTCTAGGACAGATCTCTGGCACCACCTAGCGACTTGAAACCAGCAGAGGCTCCTGGAGGAGCCAGTGGCCAGCTGGGGAGTTAGCCCACGCCGGGCCTCTTCCGACCAGTAGTCTGAGCACACAGGGGGAGCCAGCACCCACAGCCGGGGCAGACCAGGTGCGCAGAAGAGTGTGCCTGAGACCGGACACGCAGGGAGTGTGTCCCACATCACCATTTTAGAACAGGGACATTTCTTCAGTAAAGACTACCTGCAGAAGGCTTCCTCAGGAGCCAGAGGTGAGCGGGGGAAGTTCGCCCACGCCAGACCCCCTCTGGCCTGCAGTCCAAGCCCAGAGGGGGAGCAGGAACCCACCGCCGGGGCAGACCAGGCGCACAGGGGAGTGTGTCGCCACATCGGCATTTTAGAACAGGGACCTTTCTCCAGTAAAGTCTGCTTGAAACTGACATATGGCTCCTGAAGGAACCAGAGGGGAGCAGAGAAGCTCACCCAAGATGCCGGCCAGTCCCAACAACACAGTGTCCCAACGCATAAGGGAAATTAGAAAACAGAAAGTAGGGAGTAGAAGAACCACACGCAACCTAGCAACTCCCCAGGGAAAAAGCACACCACAAAAAGAAAACCAGCCCCCAGATTGCAACGACAGTAACTTGGAAGAACTTCTGAGCCTTCCAGAAAAAGAATTTAAAATTGCCGTGATTAAAAAACTGACAGAAGTCATAAAGGAAAACAATGATAAGGGAAAAATAATCAACGATCAGAAGAATGAAATTGAGTCCCTAAAGAGGGAAAACAATAGTCAGAAGAATGAAATTGAGTCCCTAAAGAGGGAAGTAAAAGAAATACAGGAGATCAAAGAATTAATGGAGGAACTAAAGAACTCTGGGAAAAGCAATGAAAGCAGAATAGATGAAATGGAAGAACGGATAAGTACTCTTGAAGACACAGAAATAAAAAGAACCAAAACAGAAAAGGAAAGAGAAGTACGAAGGAAAAAGAACGAAGAAAGACTTCGGGAACTATCTGACTCCATGAGGAAAGGAAATATAAGAGTTATAGGAATACCAGAAGGAGAGGAGAGGGGTGTAGGAACAGAGAAAATATTCAAAGAGATAATTGAAGAGAACTTCCCAAATGTGAAGAAGGAGCTGAAAATTGATATACAAGAAGCAAGAAGAACACCAAACTTCCACGACGAAAGGAAAAATACAGCAAGACACATAATAGTAAAGCTCCCAAGAATCCAGGACAAGGAAAAAATAATGAAGCTGGCAAGAGGGAAGAAACAGATAACATTCAAAGGAAAGCCAATCAGGCTGACATCAGACTTCTCCAAAGAAACACTACGGGCAAGGAGAGAGTGGAGGGACATAGTCAACAGACTCCAAGAAAACAGAAGCCAACCCAGAATAATCTATCCCGCAAAGCTCTCCTTCCTCTTTGAAGAAAGAATATGGACCTTCCCAGACAAACAGAAACTCCGGAATTTCATTACAACTAAATCCCCACTCCAAAAAAATACTACAAGGAGTCCTAAAGCCAGAACCTCAGAGGGACGAATAACAATGAAAGAAGGCCAAAAAAAAGTTATTAAAAGAATAAATAAATAAAATCAAAGGAAAGAGAAACACAATGGCAAATACAGATGCTAACATATCAATATTAACTCTAAATGTAAATGGACTAAACTCTTCAATAAAAAGACACAGAGTTGCAGCCTGGATTAAGAAACAAAACCCAAACTTTTGCTGTCTCCAGGAAACACATTTAGCTACAAAAGATAAAAATAGGCTCAAAGTTAAAGGATGGAAAACAATCCTACAAGCAAATGGACCAAAAAAGCAAGCAGGAACAGCTATACTTGTATCAGATAAAACAGATTTCAAACTCAAAAAGATAAAAAGAGACCCCAATGGTCACTACATTATGATCAAGGGGACAATACTTCAAGAAGAAATAACACTCATTAACATATACTCACCAAACGAAGGAGCACCAAAATATATCAGACAACTGTTGTCCTCTCTGAAAACAGACATCAGAGAAAACACATACGTAGTGGGAGACTTCAACACACCACTATCAACAATGGATAGATCAACAAGACAAAAAATAAGTAAAGAAACCAAAGCTCTAAATAAGGACCTAGAGCAATTGGGCTTAACAGACATCTATAGAACACTAAACCCCAAAAAAACGGAGTACACATTTTCCTCAAGTGCACACGGATCATTCTCCAGGATTGATCACATACTGGGGCACAAGACAAACATCAACAGATACACCAAGATTGAAATCATACCAACCATCTTTTCTGACCATGAAGGCATCAAACTAGAAATAAACCATAAAAAGAAGGCAAGGAACTTTCCTATCTCATGGAGATTAAAAACCACACTACTGGAAGACCACTGGACTAATGAGGAGATCAAAGAAGAAATTAAAAAATTCTTTGAATTGAACGACAAGGAGGACACCAATATCCTAAATGTATGGGATGCAGCAAAAGCAGTAATAAGAGGAAAATATATAGCAATAGAAGCTCACATCAAGAAACAAGAAAGAACTCAAAGAAACAACCTAATCTCGAAGCTCAAAGATCTAGAAAAAGAACAACAAAAAAACCCAAAACCAGTAGAAGAAAAGAAATAATAAAAACAAAAGCAGAAATAAATGAAATTGAAACTAAAATAACAATCCAAAAGATCAATGAAACCAAGAGCTGGTTCTTTGAAAAAATCAATAAAATAGACAAACCCCTAGCCAGGCTCACAAAGGAAAAAAGGGAGAAAGCACAAATAAACAGGATCATCAATCAATGAAAGAGGAGAAATCACAACTGAAACAGCAGAAATCAAAACAATAATCAGTAACTACTATGAACAGTTATATGGAAACAAGTTTAACAATCTAGAGGAGATGGACAAATTCCTACAACTCTACAATCACCCAAAGCTAGATAAAGAAGAAATTGAACACCTAAACAGACCAATTACAAGCAGCAAAATTGAAATGGTAATCAAAAACCTCCCCAAAAACAAAAGCCCAGGACCTGATGGATTTACAAATGAATTCTACCAAACATTCAGAGACGAATTAGTGCCTATCCTTCACAAACTCTTCCAAAAAATTGAGAAGGAAGGGACAATACCAAACACGTTCTATGAAGCCAACATTACACTAATACCAAAACCGAACAAGGACAACACAAAAAAGGAAAACTACAGGCCAATCTCCCTAATGAACACTGATGCAAAAATCCTCAATAAAATTTTATCTATCAGAATCCAACAATGTATCCATAAGATAATTCACCACGACCAAGTAGGATTCATTCCAGGGACACAAGGATGGTTTAACATCCGAAAATCAATCAACGTTATCCAACACATCAACAAAAAGAAATATAAAAACCATATGATAATATCAATAGATGCTGAGAAAGCTTTCGACAACGTGCAACATCCATTCATGATAAAAGCCCTTGAAATTCTTGGGATACAAGGAACATACCTCAACATCATAAAGGCTATCTATGACAAGCCAACAGCCAGTATCATTCTCAACGGTGAAAAGCTGAAAGCAATTCCATTAAGATCTGGAACAAGACAAGGATGTCCACTCTCACCACTGCTTTTCAATATAATACTGGAAGTCCTAGCCAGAGCAGTAAGACAAGAGAAAGACATCCAAGGAATCCAAATAGGAAAAGAAGAAGTCAAACTATCACTATTTGCAGATGATATGATAATATACATAGAGAACCCCAAAAACTCCACAGAAAAACTAATTCA